TTTTTTTCTCCATATTTTACCCTCTCCCTATTAAACAAACATTTGCATCCCATTTTCTTCACCCAGTAAGCAGCGTCTTAGGGATAACTGTTCTATTAGTTTTAACTTACTTTCTCCTATTAGGCAGCTCCCAGAACAGCGGAGAAAGACAATCCACATTCATGGACTATGGATAATGGCGCTATATTTTTCTTTATGGACTCATCATTAACTGCCAGGAAAAGCTGTAAAAGGAGAGAAAAGCTTGTCTTGATTTTTTTCTCTGACATGATTGTAACTAAAAGGTTAAGATGATTTCTGGTTAAATTCATTCCAAGGTGGGGATGGGCAGATTGAAGAGAGAGCAGAGAACTGAGGAAACCATGAGTTATGATACTGAAGGAAATAATGCTCAAAAAAGGTGGAGAGGCCTTAAAAAGCGTGGCTTTGCCTAGACAGTGGCTGCACACTGCATCGTGGAGGAGTATTCGACTATTAATTGGGCTGTAGGACTCTTGCCAATGGGTCAATGTAGGTGCTGCTCCATAGGTGATTGTTGAGGTACTACAATAACTGAATAGAGAGAGAGAGAATGGCCCTGCCCTGAGGCGAGCAATGTGATCACCCCAGTAGATCAGTTTACTTCAGTTTTGGAAAGTATAAAAATTGCACAGACTTGCTCTGAGAAACTGCAATTTCAAGCTGGATATTATTTAAAAGTAAAGTAGGAAGGAAGATGAAGTGGGTATTTATAGGTCTTTCTCAGTGGCATCTTTTAATGTTTATCATTGAGTTACACCTCCACAAATCTGATCTTGGTGAAGTAGTGGAGCTGACTATCGTGTTTTTAGGCTGACCACGAAAACATAACTCCACGTCCCCTGTGATGTGTCACACTACTTCCCTGCTTTCGGTGCCTACAGAGGTCAATGAATGCACTCTCCTGGGTCGAGTGCTTCCTCCTGGCCCCTGGTGAATAGGTGCTGCGCATTTGTCCGGTCCTCCCATTAAATGCATGAAATGCTCTCCCTGAGAGCTGTCACTACTTCGTAGGTGACAGGGAAAGACAGGAATACCTCCTCTGGCTCCCACAGAATCAAAGGCCCAGGGCTGTGCCATCTGGTGATAATGAGGATGGTTGAGCAGCACTCCATGGAAGACAGGCTGCTGGAGAGGACAAACCCTGCAATTGAAGAGCCTCATCCTTAACTCTTTGCACCGTGGCACGCCTCCTATGTGAGCTCAGGAACTCAGGACAATTAATTAAATTAACAAAAGGTGTAAATTAAAAGTGTCTGTGAACTTTATTGAACCTCAATTTGCATGCTCTTATTCACAACAGAGCTGGCTGCAATTTGATTTAAATTAAGTCACTTTCAGAATAAAATAACACTGAATAGAATAAAAGCAGCTTTAGTTTGGAATGGATGT